ATCTATCTATCTATCTATCTATCTATCTATCTATCTATCTATCTATCTATCTATCAGGAGTTGTTGTTTAATGTAAAGGGTAAGGGAATCAGTTACCCAGAGGGTCTCGCCGAGTCCGGTGTCCTGGGATCTCTAGGCCGGATCAGCTCCCTGGGGTCGTCCACACAAGGCGGGCAGTAACCCCAGCCGGTGCCTGCAAGCTCTGCCTCACTGTAACAACGCCGACGTTTGGCTTGGAACAAACAAAACAATGATAAATAAATAGATAAATAAATAATAAATAGCATTTGTATTCCCCCTCAACAGCAAGCTCCATGCGCTTTACGATAATGTGTTTTACAATATGTATTACCTCCAGCAGACCTGATTGAATTCTGGAATAATCTCCATCTCCTTGGGAACATACAGTGCAAGCAGCCATTTTACAGGTGCCAAAACACCAAACATATTGACAAGATCTCCAGCCACATATTCAAACCTGGGTGAAAAAAAGAAAGTTCGTGTGAAGTGCCTTTTCCCAAATGCATAACGGGGAGCCTGAGACTTGAATCCCTGAACCCACAATCACTTCACGATAACGAGCCCGGTAGCTTAACCACTAAACTATTAATGCTATATCTTCCGAATTTTATCTTTTTTTTTGTGGATGCTTTTTTCCGGGTAAGATATCACCCTCATAAAAGAGTGTCAGGTCTGAAAAAAAGACATCGGCGATCATGGTTTGCAATTTATTTACTTCTTTGCTCGGGTGCTCTCAAAAACCTGCGTTATTGTTGTCCTGGTCTTCCCAGGTGATGGTTTTCCAAGTAAATTGCTTGGGTCTATCCTTGTATCGTTGTCTTCCATATACGCCTTTCCCAAAAGGGGGATACTAACATAATCCTATGCACAGTTGAACTGTAAATTGGCTGATTTGTCAATGTCATGTTCATACTGTGCCGGAACAACATAGGGAGAACTGCTGCTTTTTTTCCCTCATCCGTATTATCATTATTTTCCTCTACTTCTTTTGCATGTTTGTCACTCTCTAGTGAATTGCTATTTCCGGGGTTCCTTGATTGTTGAATAAGACTAAGTACTGTTGAGGCTAGAGAGGTGAGCAGAGTAAGCCTGATTTCCCGTTTGGACTTCTCTGATCTCTGTTGACATCCCTCCCTCCCCCAATTGGCGCTCATATAACCTTATGCAATTGTGAACGCCGTAAAAGCTTACTAAAACAAAACAAAAAGCACAAGTGAGGGTAAGATGCTCAAGACCTTTATACCAATCTAAGAGTCCCAGAAACTGCATGTTTTGTCTTTTCGTTATTGTATATTTTATTAGTATGCAGCCCATGTGACCTCTTCAGTGCTGTCTCATTTGATTTATATTCTTTTCCTTTCTTCCAAGGAATTTTCAAGTCTCCCAACAAACCACATTTCTGTTGCTTTGGTTAAATACAATATTAAGATATTTGATATTATCATATTACAAAGCTCAGATGCCATGAGTGATTTCCAACAGTCTAACCAATCTGACACACTAGCATCTTTTATTGATTAAACATTTACTTCCAAACAAAACGATATTAATAGAAATACAAACTGCCATAATATGTACCTTTCATCTTACCTCGCACAAATGAAATTAAACACGCGGCCCGCGCGCGCGCACACACACACACACACACACACACACACACACACACACACACACACACACACACACACACACGCACATACTCTCTCTCTCTCTCTCTCTCTCTCTCTCTCACACACACACACACACACACACACACAAACACACACACACACACACACGCACACACGCGCGCACAGACACACACACACACACACACACACACACACACACACACATACATACATACATACATACATACATACATACATACATACATACATACATACATACATACATACATACATACATACATACATACATACATGCATACATACATGCATGCATACATACATACATACATACATACATACATACATACATACATACATACATACATACATACATACATACATACATACATACATACATACATACATACATACATACACACATACACACTCACACGTGCACACTCTTACAGATATAGAGAAAAAGAGAGAACACACATCAGTGTTGGGAGGGAGCCAGGGGTGCGATGATCCAGTAGTGTCTGCTTCATGTAGTCTCACAGACTCACCTTGAGGCATGGGGCAAGAACCAAAGTCCAGCTCCGGATAACAATAATCGACTTGTCCCTTCCAGGGGCACGTCCGCCGCTTTGCTTCTTGTTTCCCATTGTGATGATACACAGGCCTGTAGCCACAGGTCACCACACGGCGAGGTTTTGTTACCTGCTCCTGGTGGGAGAAAAAATTGTGAGGAAGCAAGCGCTGGTCAATTTTGGGGTGAATGGGGTTATTGGACTAATATTTAAGCCTGCCCATTTGCCTTGCTTTTTATTTTTTAAAAGATACTCACTCATTTATCTAATCTTGATTAGAAGTTGAGATATTTGCTATTGAAGGGTGAGATGGTCACCTTGTGTCAGAGGTAAAATCAGCGAGGAAATGGTAGCTAAAGTTTGGTGACTTCCAAAGCTGTATTGTCCTCGGAAACTGCAAATTTACATTTATTGTGCCTTTGAACAACTTCTTTCCTCATTAAAAATCCACGCAGGAATTTTTTTTTAACGAACATAAAAGGCAGTGAGTCCAACAAAACAAAAATCAATAAAAATTGCCTAAACACCAGAAAATGTCTGTTTATTCGATTTCACTATTTTTGACGAACACCGAATTTCACAATAGTACCTCACAATTAATGCGTCATCGCCAGAGGCCGCAGTTAGGATCCTAGCTCTACACACTTAAAGGACGAGTTCGATTCCCTTGTGGAAAATTTATATGAAATTTATTATCAAACTTCTTTCTGCCTTGTGTGCAGTATTATATTTTCCACAGTTGACACCGAGAGGCAGACTAAAAGTAAATAGCATTCTCAATTAGATTATGCCAATGTGGATGTGTAACATTATAGAGTTAATTCTGGTTACCACTGATCACCCCCTCCCCCACCCCACCCCACCCCACCCTC